CAGTTGCCACTTTAATACTGGATTCCCTTTTACAGGTATTTAAATTTTTTCCTGTGTTATAATAGCCCTTCAAAGAAAAATGTTAGTTTCTACGTTTTTTTCTTGGAATATATTATTTGTAAAAACAAAGAAGTGCAATTTGTTCTTAAATATCTTCTATTACTAGTCTGTTTATTGTAATTTTACTGATTCTTACAGAATACTGCTTGTTTATTTTTTTTTTTTTAATTTTTGCTATTTTTCTTACTTGTTTGGGTTGGGCCTGTAACTCATTATATAAACCAGGCTATCCTCAAACTTGTGGCAGTTCTTCTGCCTTTGCCTCTTGAGTACTGGGATTACTGGGCCTGTTTCACCACACTTGGCTTACTTTTTTTACCATTAGATGGAGAGAAGATTTTACATGTGCTTGGATCAATCCGGTGAGACCTTAATTTTTATGAGCAAAATAGTTAAATTCTTGACTCTGAAAATTTTTTCTATAAGGGAACTGGAGAGATGGCTCAGTGGTTCAGAGCACTGGCTGCCCTTGCAGAGGACCTGGTTTGGGGTCCCAATGCCCACATGGTGGCTAACAGCTATCTTTAACTCCAGTTCTGGGACATCTGATACCCTCTTCTGGCTTCCATAGACATTGTTTGTATGTGGCACACTTACATACAAGCAGGCAAAACACAGGTAAAATAAGCTGGGCATGGTAGCACATGGGAGCAGCACTTGGGAGCAGAAGCAGGCAGATCTCTGTGAGTTTGAGGCCAGCTTGGTCTACATAGTGAGTTCCAGGCCAGCAGGGGCTACAGGGAAACCCTGTCTCAAAAAGACAAAAAAATAGAAGAAATGTGGAGAGATTTTGTTGTTGTTTTTTAATTTTTTTTTTTTTTTATGGATATGAGCATACTGCCTGCTTGTGTGTAAGTGCACCCATGTCTGCAATGACTGCAGAGGTCAGAAGAGGGCATCGGATCCCCTAGAACTGGAGTTAGGCTTGTTGTTAGCCACCATGTGTTACCCACCATGTGGGTGCTGGGAATCAAACCCCGGTCCTCTGCAAAAGCAGCCAGTGCTCTTAACCGCTAAGCCAACTCTCTAGCCCTGTTATTTATTTATTTTTTTTAAATCCCATGTATCACTAACATGCTTGTTGAATCTTATTAACTATTAGAGTACTTAAGGAATGTCTCCTGTATGCCTAGCCTTGTTTTATGAACTCATTAAATCCTCACCTCAGTGCCTGTGACGCAGATACTATTTTCCCCCATTTAAAACAAGAAAGCTTGTATTTTAATAGATATTCATTAATGTAGTACTGCCATTTAAAAATATTATGTCAGGGGGCTGGAGAGATGGCTCAGTGGTTAAGAACATTGGCTGTTCTTGCAGAAGACCCGGGTTCGAATTCCAGCACCCACATGGCAGCTAACAACTGTCTGTAACTCCAGTTCCAGGGGATCCGACAGCCTCTTCTGTCCTCTGAGGGCATTGCACGACACGGGTACACTTACCTACATACAGGCAAAACACACATACACATTAAAAAGTATATATTTTTTTTTTATCACTGGAGTGTAGCTATTTATTTTTTCCTGTGCACCCCATATAGAACATCAAAAAGTAAATCTTACTGGCCAGAAGTGGTGGGGTGTGTGCCTTTAATCCCAACACTCGGGAGACAGAGGCAGGCGGATCTCTGAGTTCAAGGCCAGCCTGGTCTACGTAGTGAGTTCCAGGACAGCTGGGGCTACAGGGAGACCCTG